GACTACATGACATAAAATATAGTTGAGTATAAAATATTTAAATAGTTTATTATCAAAAATGCTATAGGTATGATGGAAATATTACTATACAGTATTAGCAAATTACAAAGTTTAAATTACACGCATATTTTTAAGACCAAGTAATTTTTGCTTTCTCTGGGTTTTAATTTTTCTTGTGTGACTATAACCAATTTAAAATTAATTGTCTCTAATTTCCAGAAGTTTATTTTTTTTTATGTGTTGAAATGTTTTTTTAGAAAAAAAAGTGTGTGCACTATTTAAGTCAACATACAAATAATAAAATATGTCCGCGGACTTATTTTAATTTTATTAAAATGTATGAGTCATCATTGTGCATATTTTTTATTTAAGTTAATTTAACTAAAAATTATAATGCTCTTCAAGGCCTATTTTATTCTATAGAACAAACAATTTAGGTAAGTATCGAGTGACTCATAAAATAATATTTTATTTTTGATCAGTTTGTGCATTTCTATAAAAAGTCCATAGAATACAGTTTCACCTAAATATTTGTAAATGACGATGTATTAAATAGATATTCAATTTTATTTAATTAACATTCTTCAAATAAATTTTGTTTTTGGCACATAATAAATAAAAAATAATTTCTAAATAGTATTAAGATAATAAAACCCGTATAGTATAATGTAATAATTAATAATATAATAATTTAGTTTTAAGTGAATACGTTCCGAGCTATCGTCTCTCTACATCGTATTCAGGGAAGCGATTAATTTTTATAAAGCCTTAAATCGTCCATTTTAACTTTAAATAATATAAAACATGTAATTTAACCTAATAGGTAACATTCGTTGTTTTCTAAAACCAAATTTTATCAAGAAACGTGACTTAACGTTATGTATTGGTTTTACCATAAAGTGTGTTTCTTTATTTTTTGTGTCTGTATACACGATTTTGACCAGAAGGATGACTCCGATCATTATCAAATAAAAAATAAAAAATAAGTTCTAGTTGATACTATCGGGAGTTCAATTTCTACTTCACCAACCATTTTTGGAAATGTAATTTTATTCATCCAACCTCTCCCAATCATAAGAGTATTTTCGAGGGTAATGTTACTATAATTTCAAGTTTAAAAGACTAATACATCAATACCATTCATCAATCTCTGTACCAAACTCGGTCGTGGAATCCACTGAACCTATAGTTTCACCCTTTATTTTATTTTTTTATACTTATTTCGCAGTTATTATGATTTTTTATTTATTTTTTTTTTTTTGTCATGTTAAATGTAACGTATATAACCAATCGGTTCTCTGAAAAAAATCGTGAATACGCTTCGCGCCTAAACCAAATACGTATTGTCCACGGGACCCGGGTGTTCGCCGAATGTTACAGAATTAAGTTAAACAGATTCATTTGAAATCGTCATTTAAAAAAAGATAACAGTAAATTATGATAAAACAGTATTTATTGCTTTTTCTATGTATAATTGTACACGATTTTCAAATCAAGAAAAAAATACATCATGATTATAATATGACTGATAGCCTAAATTATTTTAAAATTATTAGTGTAACAAGAGTAAGATATTTTGGATTGATGATAGATTGCAATATGCACTGGAACTTCCATGTATCAAATATAAATATGTGCCTACAAACTATTACTTATAAACTTTATTGATTGTACAAAATTCTCGCTCCAGATATGACGCAGTTAGTATATACATAATTTAATTAATCTATTGTACAATGTGACATAATTACATAGGATGGTACCTCCGAAAATACGCTAAAACCATTAATTTCATTACAAAATAATGCTGTTGGTATCTGCCTTGATAAAGGTATACGCAGTTCGAGTCGGATCTACAAAAGATAATTATAAAGAACTAAATGTACCTACTCCCTCTTAATATGCTGTATAAAAAATATTCTATATGATTCATACCGAAAAATCGCGCTCCGTTAGATCCATATATGTACATAAATAAACGAGAAAATTTAAGATATATGATCTAAGTATAAATTACCCAAAAAAAAAAGGTATTGGTTAGAAATGTATCGATCATTTAGGACCAATACATTTGAATCGTTTAAACAATAATATTAAGAAATATCATAGACTAAATAATAATATTAATGTAAATAAATCTAATTATTATTTATCTGAGTTGTAAAAAGTTAAAAATTATTTTTATTTGTATTTCGTCTTTAAATCCTCTTGATAACTGAAAAACTTCCGTAAGTCCAACCGAACGGTCGGTCTACCGGTAAGACCTCTACAGTTCGAATAAGACGCACGTACTTCGGTTCCCTCGATAAATCGAAAATAATAGAGTTTTGCGCGGAATAGTGCATGTCTGGCCCATCAAAACCCGTGTCCGTTGCACTGATCAACCACAATATTACGTACGGCGATCGCGTAGCCGCAAAAACCGCAAAATTAACACGTGCTCGTGTACCGGACGTCAGGAACAACAGTCGCACACGCTCGGAAACGTATTTCGTATCGCACGGCTGCAATCGTACGCAAGTTATAGCGTAATAATTAACCGTGTGCACAGTGACGAATTGGTCGTGCGGGCGGCTGACAAGTATGACGTTGTGTAGGTACACGTAACATAACTGTGGCTAGTGACACCCAAATATTGGTAACGGCGTCAGCATTAGTGCGAATAGCCTGCTGTTGCTGGATCGCACGTTTCGCTAGGTATTATTATTTTTTCGTCACAAACACGATTCGCGAAATCCAGGTCCCAGGTCCGATATAGTTAAGGGCATTGGCGGATTTAACGATCGTTTAGTCGGCGAATGCCGATGGGTCCCCTTCCTAAATTGTTTACTGAGGCCCAAAAAAATTGTAGTTAATTGTTTTAAAATCTTACCACAAAAAAAGTGTAATACAAACTGTTATATCGTTTACAAGCAGCTTTGTAAAACAGGGTTAAGATTGTTAGTGATCCATTTATTACGAGGCCCCCCTCTTTTGGATTTGCCGACATCATTTGAACCTTTAAATCCACCACTGGTTGAGGGTCCCTGGTTTCATAATAACTGGAAATCATTTAACTCTGGACTTCATACTTGAGAGTTATAACATGTTTTTAACTGTATTCCTTATATATATATATATATATATATATATATCAATTAAAAACATTGCGTAATAACGAGTAGTTATTAAATAATACTAAACTTAAATATAATACGCCTACAGCTTAAAAAGCTTTAACCCGAAAAGAATAAAAAATATAAAAAAAATCATAAAAACTGTGGTCGATAATACTAAACTCAGAATCGAACATGTTCTCTACAATTAAATTAATATCGAACCATTGAGTCCGCGAGCACGGGTGTGTGTGTGTGTGTGTGTGTATTATAATTAATGTACAAAGATCGGTTTATTTCATTGTTTATTTTATTGTTTTTACGATTCGAAATTATTCTTTCCTTTTGTTTTCACATATGTGTACATTTTTACTGAAGAATCTCATAATTGCACTAAAATAAAAAGTAAACTTTGTACGTATTATACGTACTACTAACTGAATTTTTAAAATGTTCAACTTAGTAAAAACATTTACTAATCATACATTAATTTAATTATTAATGACAACGGAATTGTACAAATCAGATGCTAACTTCAATATGAAATATATGACAACATAACAACAATAACAATTACGCTATCCGCTAACCATAAGTTTTCATCATATTATTTTTAATATTCTTTTTGCCAGTTGACTTAAAGAGTTGATGCTGTACCACCTTGTGAGTAGCGCCATATTATTTCAAGCATCTTAAAGCTAACTAACTACAAAGAACTCTAATATGTCACGAAACCAAACAGCATCAAAGCGACAGACAAACATTTCCGGACTTCCTAGCTTACTCAACAAAAACAGCTATTATTAGGGACACAAGGCTAATTTAAATATAAATCATAACTATGTTAATTAATTAACTTCCAGTAAAGCTAATAATCAAAAATGTAGTAGATTTTCGTGATTTTAATCGTTTTCAATATAATATTTATATAATATTTAATTATGAAATGCTCGTAATTGTACTTTTTTAAATGAGCATATATTTATAGGCATTCAATGAAAAATTTTAATTCTCTACAGTTTTAATTTTTTTCAGTTGCGTAGTAAATGAAAATTCGATTTGAATGAAAATCGATTTACCGTAACTTTTATCGGTTCTTTTTATAACTTTTATAAGTTCTTCGCAATTATTTAGAAAACTGTCGGGAAATTCATGAAATAACCTCCATTCATAACTAGAACTCATTATTTACTTCTAATTTGGCAGTGATCGAATACATATATTACGGGGAATACGGAATACCGGGAAATAAAAAATAAATGATCGTTTCACTTTCAGAATCAAAAATAGGATTAATAATCATGTTCGACCTAAGGCAAAATAAATTAAAAAAAAAAAAAAAATTAAATAAAATATGTTCGATAAAAAATAAACGAAAAATCTCGGCAGAGGTATGGCTACAATATTTACACGTACATATAGGTTTCGTGTTGTAACGCAAGGAAACGGGCAGCGCGTGTGTAACGTGTAATTATCGTAATTTGACGGGCTGCCGGCGCCCATTGTTCGCACGAACAACTGTGCACTCCTTACTTACTTTTTTTTTTTTTTTTAATAAACTTATTTGTATTGCCGTCGATGTCGCCAACTACTCGTGGCGTGTTCCGTTGCTTGAAACAGTTAAAGTCCAATCAAGTGCGGCACGACCCGATGTACGATCTCGTCGTACGGACGAAAATAATATACATGTATATAAATCGTATTGTTAGGATAACACGTACGTGGTACACACCGACGGTTCCGAAAATGGAAAAAAAAAAAATAAATAAAAACGAGAAACACGACCCCTCCACACGGTCATATTGTTCACCTTGTATGACGCTTGCACACCTTGTACGGGGATGAATAAACCAGAACGAACGTACTACACCGCTCGTCGCCGGGACAGTTGGTGTGCAGAGCTCGTGTCACGGAGTCGTGTCTTCACCGCTGCTACATCGCGACCTCGGTCATTCAAGTGCAGTTCCCGGATTGTTCTGATCTTGCAGCGCGGCTGAGGACGATACCGCCGCCGTCATGTTTTCGTCACGTTACGGCCGCATGTTCTTCATGTGGTTCGCCGTCTCCTCGCTGATCCTGGGGTCCGACGCGCTGGACCCGATGATCTACCCGGGCATGCAGACCGGATGGAGCCTCATGGACGAGTTGGCCATGTGGAACCCGTACGAGCCCGTCGAAGAGATAAAAATGCTGCCGGATTACGATTTCGTCGTGGTCGGTGCCGGCAGCGCGGGCGCGTTGGTGGCCAACAGGTTGACCGAGGTGAGGTTTTCACGTTTTCGCGTTTTCGTCTTTTCGCGTCTGCTCGACGACCGGTTTGATTCGATTTTATTTTCCGTTTCACCTATCCTTCCCCGGCCGCAGTTCGTCGGCGCAAATCGCGTTGCTTACACATTCCCCCCCCCCCCCCCCCCCCCCCCCCCCCCCCCCCCCCCGCCCCCCCCCCCCCCCCCCCCCCCCCCCGTCCTCTTCAAATCCAATTTAGTCGGGAGACAATCGTACAAAGCTTTAATTTAAACTATAAGCGCACATAATAATTTTTAATAAACACTTTACACGTATTACCATCGTTCACTGCGTGCATTATTCGTCGTCGTCCAACGTTATTCCACAGACATTTTAATTACGAAATGTTGTTATTGATTATTGCGGGATAGGGGGCGAGGGGTATGTGGTTAAGAGGCAGTGGTAGTGACGTTGCTGGGCCAAAAAGGGTGATCATTGTATTCGGTTTTACTACTTTTCCGACAACGCTATTGAATATTTTCTCGATATGTTTTCACAGAATTGTTTCGAATACTTCATTCGAGTTCCTCGAACATATAATTAATAAAACATTGAATATTTTTAGCATAAAACGTTTTTATTAGTGATTGATTGGTGTAAGGGGAATCAGGGGGGGGAGGGTTGCCTACTGTAATTGGTTATACCACTTTTCTGACGACACTATTGGACATATTATAAATTCGTTCTCGCAGAGTATTTTGGAATATTCCATCCGAGTACCTCGAACATATCATGAATGAACTATAATACATGATAACCCGGTTTGCCGAATGAAAAACGTGAACAAATACTTAAGCTAGTCTACTAAATTATTATTATTTTACAAAAAATTTATCGCATTTAGTCATTGATCGATTGTTATTACTTAAACAATTTTTTTTTAACGAAAACGTAATATGAACTGCAGGTTCTCAATTGGAAAGTATTATTAATCGAAGCCGGACAAGAAGCTACGGGTCTCATGGATATACCGTTAGTAGCTTCGCTAATGCAAGGCTCAACGATCAACTGGAATTACAAAACCGTGCCGATGAACAATTCGTGTTTAGGTATTTTATTGAGAGTGAACCACGTACCTGTACGTATGACTTAACGGTTCAATGTTTCGACAGGTTACGAAAAACAGCAGTGTAAGATGCCGAGGGGAAAAGTTATGGGTGGTAGCAGCGTGCTGAACTACATGATATATACGCGAGGCAACCGAAAAGATTACGACGATTGGGAGAAAATGGGCAACCCGGGTAAGCGTTCCGTCCGCAATGCATTAATTACATAATTGTTTTCGTTTCGCGCACCTTGTTCTTATATGCGTGTACATTAATCTCTACAGGGTGGAGCTACGACGAGGTGCTGAAGTATTTTAAGAAATCGGAAGACGCCAAACTGTCGGACGCGGATGAGGACTATCACGGCCAAGGAGGCATGTTGCCAGTAACCGACATCCCGTTTAGGACGCCCATAGCCAAAGCTTTCGTGAATGCTGCGTCGGAGATCGGAATGCCCTTCGTCGATATCAACGGCAAGAGTCAGATCGGTGTCGATTACATTCAGGTAATTCATTTTGCAATAAACTTATCGTACGTGCGGCGTCTACGCATAACGTCTTAATTATAGTTGGAGGTCCTTTGAAATATTAGCGGGAAGGGGGGGAGGGCTTACGTATTTGATATCGACCAAAAAGAGGACCTCTGTATTCAAGATTTCGAACATAAAGTGACAAAATATATTTTATCTCGTAATAACTTTCGGGTACCGAGTTTAATGATATTCTGCAATACTAACTTATGAGTACGATATTATGTGGTTTCTTTGTATTGTTTCAAGATTTGTTGACGAGGGACTTTAACAAGTTATTTAGGGTCTCACCCCCTCTCTTCCTATCTCTACGTATGATCTTAATAATAAATATGGTGAGTGGTAACGATTATAAACGAATTATAGGAGTTAACGCGGAATTAATTCAATTATGAATCCGTTTCGGCAACTCACTCAAAGTTCAAAGTTCAAAGTTCGAATTAGTTTATTTATCTATCATTCATTTTAATTGTATACATAATATTTATTACGGAAGACAAATACAGGCTTATACATTATGCTATGACTGTATCACAAAATATCGCATATAAAGCATAATTCAGAAAGCTATACAATACATATTAGTTTCCTATAATTGACGATCAGTATTATTTATATACTGGCACTCGTTTACCGTTTACATATAAATATGTGTATTTCTGTTACGACTGAATTGTATCACGGGATGAAATGTAATTTATTTACTACTTAATAAAATAATTGTAATTTATCTTATTAGCTCAAATAACTGTATGAAACTCAACATTTTTACATCAGCTAGAAATTTACCAGCGTAAATTGCATTTTTCAAAATAAAATAACGTGCCTTTTCGGTCATCATACATCTATGGTTTTTGGTGTGGCGTCCTCTTAACGAAAGATATGTGTAGATCCATTTAGAATTAGGTAATGACAATGTTATCAGCAGTGCCGCAATAACCGAGTGTGTATTAGGTGTGTCAAACACACGAGCCCATGGTCCCAGCCTATAATAGGAATGTAGAAAGCAATAAAATAATACCATTTTGTAATCATAACTATTAATGGATATTGAACAATAATTAATTCATTTTGTTCTGTACACATTATTGTACAACGTTTCTTTTGCGGCCTGTATAATCGAAATTCTAAATAGTTTGGTTATAATTGATTAAATGTACGGTTTTCTCACAGAGTCCGGACACGCGGGCGGGGGCATTCATTTTATTTATACATGGGTTCAAACTAGTGTAGTTTAGGGATTAGTTAGGGGAGGGACAATAATCTACATTGGAATATGTACGAGTAAAATATGGTAATATTTTATATCTAATGATAAATATTCTATTTAAATGAATACTTCATTCAGAATTTGAATAAAAATGATTTTATAATATTTTACTGTACTGGTAGTCAAATCGGTCGGTGGGTTGGTGTTGACCTAAATACATGATTGGAAGAAGGGATTATCATAACTATAATTGAACGATTTTATAGAAATACTGTGGGTCAAAATACAGTTACATGAAACAAATTTTTATTGTATAATTTTCATAGCTTTTATATAATAATGATAAAGTTCAAACTTTTATAGAAGATTGTACACAAGTGTGTATGTATTTTATAATTATTATTATTATTATTATTATATTTTATAATTGTTATTATTATTGTTTTTATATTGTACATATTATAATTATTATAAAATGCAGCCTTCTATAAAAGTTTATTTTATGTCACTTTTTTTGTAGTAAATTACCCATTCACCCATTTGACTATCAGTAAAATGGCTCTATAGACAACTAAAGCAAAAAATAATTACAACTGATAATCTATTTGGGCACCACTGATTACGGCGTATGTAATCAGTAAAAGATTTAAAATAAAAGTAACCTAGGTCCTTTTAAAAAGGCCTTTCTCTTCAGAAAAATGAACAACTTTCAACTTTAATCATAATACGAGTATATTCCTAAAATATGAAAATAGTAATTTTCTATAATAATATTATTTTATTATGTACGATCATAACAAGTAATTTCATATTTAACCAATATTCTATTTTAGGGGGGGTCAATAGGGGCATTCCCCTCTCTGAGACATTTTTTTTATTACTATTTTATGGAAGCTGTGATTATAAGTTAAATTACATTATTATGACTACTCGCCTTTCTTGTGCTCCAACCAAATACGGAATCCAATTTTGTTATTACAATAGAAACCGCTTCTAACATCAATATCACGTTTTATATTATAATGATAGACAATAAAGAAAAATCAATTATTTATAATTACGATCAATACTCAATGTTCTGTGCTAATATTTTATTTTTATTATACTTAATACTCGTAATTTATAGTTGATTCTGTTGTTTGTGTTTCGTATCGATTAAAATATTTTATGTTTTTAGAATAGTAAACTTTTGACGTTAATGTTTCAAAATAAGATATTTAGTTTTTACTCACCCTGAACAACTCTCCCAAATAAGCTATTGTATTTACCCATCCTATTTTACGGCCTCCACGAGGAGAAAATGTAAATCGTCATAATCGTATCAAATAATTTCGATAATATTTTACTGTTAAGCATCTGTACCTTAGTATTGCGTGACTAATGTATTTGAAAAATACTATGCATTAATTATTCATGGACTTCTATACAATCATGAATAATACATAATATTTTATTTATAATTTACAGTAAAACCTGTCTTGAGTGGAATCGAATTGGACCGATGCGAATTTTTATTTAATCATAAGTTTTCGGATAATCGAATAAATAGGAAAATTCCGTCTTTTGAATTTAAAATTTACATTTAATTAAGGTTTCACAATATTCCGTACGTACAGTATAAATATCAATTTAGAGCAATGGAAATAAATGAAAATATGAGATTTTTAACTAATTAAAATTACACATTCTACTTTACGTTCTACATATTATAATACATTTCGATATTATAAAATTAATGGTGGTGGTTATACATACGATGTACTAACATATATGCAATACAGAGTATTGTTACTTCCATATTTAATCATATTCCAATGTTCAAGGAAACTTTTTATCTTGGTTTAACCTTTAATCTTGATTAACCTTTGTTTCAATTAGTATACTTTCTTTTTTCATTTACTCTTCCCGTTTTCTAATAACTAATACTAATAAAATTCTAATACTATTAACGCATTGTATGTACATTTATCGAGTCGTTAATTATTTAAATTGTTTAATGTATTTAATGCATTTAATGAATTTAATGAATTTAACGAATTTAACGAATTTAAGGAATTTAACCAATTTAATGAATTTAACCAATTTAATGAATTTAACCAATTTAATGAATTTAATGATTTTAATTTATTTAACTAATCTAACTAATTTAATATATTTAATTAATTTAACTGATTTGATTTATTTAATCAATTTAATTATTTATTTATTTCACGTGTCTTAACTTAATTGTTGTTTAATAACAAAATAAATATGCGTTTAAAATGATTTTTGTCCATTTTACAACACATTACACGGGTTATTGAGGTTCGTATTATTACCGGAATCAATAAATGGTTTTCCGTTATACATAACTGCGTTAGACACGTTACACTTTATCGAGGGGGTCTCGTTCCGTGCCAGAATATATGAATGAATTTGAAAATGAATCAAAACTATTTTCGACTAAAAAAAAAAAAAAGATTCTTCGTTATTAATGGTCCCTTTTGCTGCCCCGTTTAAAAACGCATGTAAAAGATTACTTTAGTACAATAATAATATGTTTGTGCGTGAGTGAAGTACGCTCACGTACAGAGATATAGTCCAAGGGTGGATCTATACATATCTTATAAGAATTGTTACGATTATTTCCAGTAATCAACTTTCATTAATTTATATTTATAAATATTTTATTTTATTCTTTGTATATCACTCACTCGATAACAGACTACAATGCAAAAGAAATTTTCTTTTTTTTAATTTATAATTTTTTTTATTTTTTTTTTTTTTATCAACGATAGAAAACAATCTGAGTATTCCTTTGCACATTACATAATTTAGGAATCAATATACATACAATATACATATGTATATATGTATATTTGCTTTTATTTCGAAAAAATCACTCCGACTTGGTTTATTTGAAAAA